CTTTCTCTTGTTTCAAAAGGATTTCTTCTTGTATCAATTAATTTTCCTCTTACATGAAGAGGAATATGTTGATTTGAATGTCGGCTTTTTCTTTCCAGTCATGCTCTACCTCCGGACGTGAACGAAAAAATAACCATATGCTTATGGGTCAGAATATTTTTGAACGCTTTTTGGAAAAAATATGTACATGTTGCTGTAACATGTAACGAAGATAATTTACCCATATTTGGTCAAATACAGTTTATAATCTACTGCAAGAAGTCGAATAACACATTCTTTCTTACAACTATGTTTCATACAATCGGTTACGATAAACGTCTTTGTAGCTATGAAGTCCATAACAAAACTGATTAGAAATTTATTTGTTATAATGATCTTATTTAATTCGTGCCTACTTATTGTAGAACTGAAGCCAGAAGTACATATATATATATTACTTTTCGCTATACATTATAATAATTTTTTCAAATTAACTAATATAACCAGTAAGAATAAAGTACAGTTGAAGAAATAAGTAAGAATAAAGTAAGAATAAATAATGATCCTCTTAAAAAAAGCTTAAATAATCCGTGTAATAAGAGGAGATTTATATTAAAGTCAATAAGATTTGCATTGTATATGTAACATATAATCCCTCTAACTTTAAAAATAATATGTCTATAATATTTTGCTCTTAATCTTAGAGGAATCTTCTTGAGACAAGAATAAAGTCGTTCAAAATTTAGATGATTCCGCTTGTTCTGAAATTACTTTCTCTCGGGTGCGTGTCGTTTTTTTTTCTATGTAAATGAAAAGCGATTCTTTTTTTACAAAAGGCAAAAACTTTACTCTGTAACATATTGCCCGTTTAATTCAATGATCTCTTGCCATCTGTTTGATAGCTTCATGATTCCGACCTCATAGAAGAATTCTGATCCAAGTACTATTTGACAGCCTCATCGGAATCGAATTCTTTTCCCTTCGAGAAATTTTGCAAGGGACGAAATAATCTGATGGCGCAAGGTCAGGCGAATATGGGTGGGTGTGTGTGGTAAAACACATCCCACTCAAGCTGCAACAATTTTTGGCGGATGACCAACGCGATGTATGTTCCATCCAGCGTTGTCATGGAGAAAGACAACACCTTCACGATTCACCAGTTCCGGGCGTTCCTGCTTGATTGCTCCGCGTAATTTGCCCAATTGACGACGGTACCGAATCCATCGTTTGATCACGTTTAAGCAGTTGAAAAAACACAATACCCTTGTAATCCCACCAAGCAGACAGCAAAGTCTTCCTTTGGTGAACGTCTGCTTTAGAAGCGCTTTGTGGCGGCTCATCACGTCCGCTCCACGATCTTTCTCGCTCCACATTGTCGTAAACAATCCATTTTTCATCGCCAGTTAACATTCCTTTCAAAAACGGACGTTTCACGAGAGATTCGCTGATATCGATGCGTTCGGTGAGATGAACTTCTTTGAGCTCGTGCGGAATCCAAACATCGAGTTGTTGACACATCCGAGTTATTTTAAATGGTTGCTCGATGCTCGTATGTGATACGTTTAGCTTCTCAGCGATCTCCCGTGACGGTTGGACTAAAGCAGTGCTTTTATTTTGTCGTCATCGACCTCAATTGGTCGGCTTGACCGCGACACATCTTTCTTCTACACAGGAAAATCTCCTCCACGAAAACAAGCAGACGTTAACGCTGACGTTCTATTAAGGATTCCTCATCATACACAGCACACAACTTTTGACGGACTTGCACAGCGCTCTTTCCTTTTTAGGAGTGGAAGAATAAAATATGGCGGAAACGCTCGTTTTAATTTTCCACCTTTAACTCAATGCCAAACAAACAATTCTTTACCGAGTGACGCGCTTTCTTTTCCTTTTTTTTTTTTTAAGAAAGCTTAAAACGTCAGCTGTCGAATAAAGGTTACAGGATTTGGAGTGAAGTTGGTTGCGTTTGATGCGACAGGTAAAGCCGCTTGTCCGTGAAAAACGACACGACTTTGCCGCCAAGCTGATGGTGTCGCGGTTATTCCGTTACTTTTCCGCTCCGCTCCGATTTTCCGCGACGGTTTCGGAAGTCCCGCCGCGCCGGCCGCTTCGCGGCGGAATTGAGGAATTACGGACGATCGCGGACCACCAGACCCCGATACGGTCTCGTCGCTGATTACACACGTCGGCCGTGAGAGACTCGAACTGCTCCGATCGGTTGTTCGCCGTGGGTGGGGTGGGGGGGGGGAGGGAGGAGGAGAGGGGTATCTGTCGCGAGATAATAATCGCGCGTCTTGCACGGTACGTCTGCTCTCTCGCGTCGCAGCGCTCGCGGACGGCCTCCCGTCTATTTGCGTTACTCGCGCGTGATAACGAAAAATGACGAAACGAGCCCCGCCGTCGGGCACGTGTCGGCCCTCGTGAGATTCCGCGGCGCTGCGCGTCCGAGCGTCGCGAGCGCGATAATGGAGCGCGCGCGTCAATTTGCGGTTAATCTCGCATAACTAATAGAAAGCGCATG